TGCTTCCTTTTGTCCGTTTTGAAACCTCCCATCATTCAGCTTTACTGTATGGTTCCAGAACTGATCTGCCTATGTTTGCAAGTCAAATCATGCATACTTTGATATCCTTCTATTATCCCTGCCTTCCCCCCCAATTTAAATAGTCCCAGACATTATAGGCTTTCTTTGTAAGGGAGTTGTTCCAATCCATTGACTATTCTAGTTACTCTTTTCCGAAGCTTTTGCACCTGTACAATATTCCTTTCCAGTTAATAATAATAATCCTGTCCTATCAAATCAATTCTGACTTATGGGAAGCCTTTTCAGGGTTTTTCAGATAGAGAATACTGTACTCAGAAACAGTTTCCCCATCCCTTCTTCTGGGGGTGCTCTGGGACTGTGCAACTTGTCCAAGGCCACACAGACTGGCTGAACCTGCAGGAGACACAGTGGGGAATTAAACTCCCAACCTCTGGCTCCACAACTAAGTATCTAAACTACAGAACTATCCAGGTGCAGTGACCAAAATTATACAGTTAACAATAGTAATTGGCACAGAATGAAGTTTGTTTTGGTGATTTCAACCAAAGCAAAGCATAAATGTGATAAACTTCCACATAATTTGTGACTTTCGTAATCAGAGGTATTTTTTTCCTTAGAATATGAAGGTTCCACTTTTAACCAATGTAACTAGATTATTCTTGTGAATGTGTTCTGTGCTTTCAAGAAGCTGTGTGACCCAGAGGTCATCATCACATCCTAAGGTGATGAATTATGCTAAGTGACATGGATAGTATGAAGAAATATGGCCATGCATTTAGTGGTGAAATTAAATACAGACATAACTTCTCTCTTTCCTAGACAGAATCCAGGGGAGATCCTATTTCCAGAACAAACTGTTGCTATATGAGGCAGCTACTTACACATTGCCAAAAAGGAGGATTGCCATTTGCATGGAACTGCATATGCTGATTTATGTATGTTGTATGTTGCTTCATCTTTCGGTCAAACTTGCGATTGGCCAGCTCTTCAAGAACTGGCGATGCCTTTGGGAAGAGGATTAGGCTTTCATGCAGAGGACCATCATCCTTAAAGAAGGCCGGTGGCCACCCAATGCATGCAAAACAAATTGGCTGGAGATTGCCGAAATCACTAACCTGCTGCCCCCTTTTTCTCCATGTTCTTTACAGCTCTGTTGCCATGTCAGTCTGCACTTCAGTTTGGATTTGAGGGGGAAGAGACTGAAAGCCAGGAGAACTGAGATAATGAATGTGTCAAAGTTGTAGTAATTAAAGCAACCAAAAAGCTAATGGGCTGAGGAAAGAAGCCTTTGCTTTTACTATTTTCCTTTTGTATCAACCTGAAACCTACTGAGTGCCAATTCATGTGAGCAAAACGTACAAAACCTTTTTTATACTTAGATTGCTTCCTGAGTATTATTTTCTAAAGTGCTAGGCCTTTGGTGAGGGTGGATAAAGAAGGGGACTCCTTAGCTAATTCTGACCCTTAAGTAGCTGGCCTTCTGCTGTGCATTTTACTGTAACTTACACAAGTTCCTAGAACTCTCAACAATACTCACATCTGCAGGCAGGGAATTGACTCATTTCTTCCCTGCGTTAGTTTCAAACAAATCGGTTAGTTTCAAACAAATCCATTCTTCTTCTTGCTGCATATTCAGTTAGGCCTGAAGGCAAATGGCCTACTGGTTGTTGTGGGTTTTTCAGGCTCTTTGGCCATGTTCTGAAGGTTGTTCTTCCTAATGTGGCCGGCATCTGCAGCGGATTGGAGTCAGAACTCTGTCTGTACAATTCTGACTCCAGTCCTCTGAAGATGCCGGCCATAGAGACTGGCGAAAAGTTAGGAAGAACAAAGAGCCCAAAAAACCCACAACAACCATTAGATCCCGGCTGTGAAAGCCTTCACGAATACAAATGGCCTATTGACTGAGTATGATCCATCATACAAGGATTATTTTGGTGAGAGAGTTGCATGTCTCCTCCATGATCCTGCATTTGGGCTTTTTCTTTTCTTTTCTTTAAAGGCCCTGGTCCCTCATCTCTTTAAATTTTTAATGGTTTGGTTTAAATGATTTAATTACTTTTTTAGTTTTAATTATTTTTCTGTTTAAATTATTGTTACTTTAACTGTAAAACCCAAGAGCAGGCACAAAGGTCACTGGTCAACATCTTCCCCACTCGGATGGGATGCATTATAATTCTGCTTAAAATATTAATTGTTTAACTATAGATCCTAAGAGCAGGGACATGACTGCAAATAAATAACGGATTTAACATGATGACTTGTTTAGCCCTTAGAAAGCAATACAGTCAATAGAAGCTCAGATAGCTCATGTGTTATGGCAAAGGTGACATAAACAAGGCTGGCTGAAATGATCTGGATGCCGTTTGCTTTCTTGCCCTTTTGCTTCCTGTGATGGCTGGGATGAAGAATGTTGCACAAACAGCACAATCCACCCTAGAGGACAAAAGAGGTCTCCCAAAGAGCAACCTCTATTCAACCTAGGAACATTTCCTGGAAAAAAAGGAGCTACAGCTTTCTTTGCCTAAGTCAGCTGTCCCCAGATGGCCTTGTGTTCCTTACAGCTCCCATCACCCAAACCACTGAACTGGAGGGACTGGCGTGGTTCATTAACTCAGAGAAACCACCGAGAACCATTGTCTATTGTTCTCATTCCAAAAACAGGAAAGGCTTGTCTGGACATTATGTTTGAGATGGGGAGCGCTGCAGGCTTTTATCATGGAATCCACATCCATGACAGTTCCTGAAGATGCACATGCATGGATTATAAACTCGTTACTTACTGGTTTGGTCCTCAACAGTGAATAGATGATCTGCACAGGAGTCAGGTGACAAGGTCATTATGGGTACTGTAATCCCTGTGATAAACGTTCCTAAGCTGTTTTCTAGAACCACCACAATCCGATTCATCAAGGCTATGTTCTGGGTGAATATAAATATTTCAGAGAAACTAAGGTGGTACCAGGTTTGCATTGAGAGAAGAGTTAGCACTGTTTATCAAAATAGGTAAAGGTAAAGGTTCCCCTTGACAATTTGTCCAGTTGTTTCTGACTCTAGGGGACAGTGCTCATCCCCGTTGCCAAGCCACAGAGCCAGCATTTGTCCGAAGACAGTTTCCATGATCACGTGGCCAGCGCAACTAGACACAGAATGCTGTTACCTTCCCACCGTGGTGGTACCTATTTATCTACTCGCATTTTACATACCGTACTTTCAAACTGCTAGGTTGGCAGGAGCTGGGACAAACGACTTGAACTGCTGATCTTTTGTCCTTGTAGCTCAGAGATTTAACCAGCAGCGCCACCACATCCCTGGCATTTATCAAAATAGTGGTCTCTAAACAGACTTTCAGCTTTCTCCTCCACTTCACCTTGGTGGATATTTTGGAGGAGCACGAGTTGGTGGTAGGGGCAACAGCGGCAGCATCAGAGGCAACTCTAGATGGAGAACAGCCTTGGATTACAGCACTGATTACAGTCCCAGGATATTGTTGAATAATTCCCGTAATCCTTGCTCATTGATTATGCTGGCTGGAGTTTCTGGGAGCTGACGTCCAACATCATCTGAGAATCTACATTTGAAAACCATTCAGCTAGAGGGCATAAAGGGAGAGAAAAAAAGCATTTCACAGATTCTGTATAGATGATGTTGGATTATCATGCCTCCTTCAGGTCCCTAAAAAATTGTAATCCATAAATAGCCTTAGACTGCTATATACCTAGGAAAGAAAGCATCTCAGCATCATTGTGCATTTCATAGTACTTTATGCAGAATAAATTAAGGTACAGTTTCAAAGGCATTGCAAGACTTTTTGTTATTTGGCTACATATTTATTCAGGCTTACTGTCCTATTAATTTTTTATGCTTCCAAACTGAAGCCTAATATTTCCTGATCCCCTTAATCACATAAGCAATCTATGTGGTAGTTCACTATATTATAAAAATGGAAATGGCAGGCTACTGCATTGAATTACCTAAAGCTGATAAATAAGTTTAAGGGCCGAATATTGCTTTGGTGAACTGCTTGCGTAATTGTCCAAAGTGGGCAAGCAGTCTGGCATTTTGTGAGCTCACACAAAGAGGTATCGAGTGTTCTAACCGTTCGTCCATAAAAGGAGCTTTCCCTTCAGATGGAAAGAAATATATAAGATGTATAGCCTTAAACTTGTTAAACCAGGTTAGTTGATCACACCACCTTTCTGGTGCCATGCATTCTTCAGGCCTTCATAACACTCTGTTGCTTGACTGCTTCCTATAGAAATCAATGGCACGGTTTCATGGTGTCCCTACAGCAATGGAGTCTATGTTCTCACTGACTGAAATGAACTTCAGTGAAAGAAACATACACACCGTGCATCAGCTGGAGAAGAAAATAAAATATAATTCATCTTAGTAAAAGGCCTTCCATTTGTGTAATGTAACTGAGACCTGTTATACTGCAGAAACATAAATATTCCTTCTAAGGTTAAGGAAAGGATGCTGATACTTGCATTATTTGTCAAAGTAGTTAAGAAATACTGTATATTCATTGTGAACTTATTTTGTTGGGTTATGTTCATGTTATTTGGGGTGGAGAAAGCATACCACATGGTGCCTGCTGTGAGAAAGCACAGCAACAAAACCAGATTCTAAAACAGGTTCTATCTGTCTGTCTGTCTGTCTGTCTGTCTGTCTGTCTGTCTGTCTGTCTATCTATCTATCTATCTATCTATCTATCTATCTATCTATCTATCTATCTATCTATCTATCTATCTATCTATAAAACAGAACAGATCCTGCATCTCTGAAAGCTCTCTGTTAGCTTGTCTGGTGGCCTGTTTCATTCCCCCACTTTGTGTATGAATCTGATGCTTCTGAAGATAGAAATTTATAGCTGTTCTTCTCAGCCACATGAAATGCAGAAGAGATTCCTTCCTAAAGCCAAGAGGGCAGTGGCTGCAAACAACAGATGTAAGCGGAGCTCCCATAACTGTCAGTTTTCAGAGGGTTCGCATTGAGAGGAGAGGAGGTGCTATTCTGATTGATATTTCAATGCTGTATATAAAGTAGAGGAATTTCCCTCTCCCTCTGCTTGCCATATTGGTCTGCACACTCTCCAGGGGACTTGTGGCTACTTGCTGTTGTGTCTGGCACACATAAAAAGGAATAAAAAGGAACTGAAACTATGCCAGAACCCACCAAAAAAGCTGGTAAGCTTAACTGCATCCCTTTTCTTATATACAGAATGTGGCTTTTCTAGATGCAAAATGCTCCTTTCAAAAGGAGCAGGCAACTGAACCACGATCAGAGTAGGTGAACCTTTTAATCGGCTAATTAAGAAAAGCAAAGAAGTGCTATTATCTCTAAGCTCCCCTTTTTAACCAGCTTGAGTCTCATTTTTCCTTTATGTTTTGTTCATGTAGTATATGTACCTTCATTACTGCAAATGAGTCTAAACTGTATGTCAATAGGAACAGGAGAATTATAATTTAGTGCTATTATTTGTCCATGGATGTTTGATATTTATTATCCTGTTATCTTCTTCAGTTTCCTCCCTATATATCAAATTCAGAGACTATTTCTGTACCAAGAGGAAGATGTCATTATTCTTGGCCTCAGTCTGAACTTTGAAAAAGGACCACTGCCCTTCTCTAGCAAAGCTCTCACACAAGAGTAACATATTTAGAAGCATTTAATCCAGTACACCACAGCAGGAAGATGATCTAGACTGCAATCTTTCTGAACAGACTTCTCTTCAGGAAGGAGAGTCTTTAGCTTTCATGTCATTTAAAGAAGGTTCCAGTATTCAAATATTAATGGTAAATCTCCTTCCATGCTGCAGTTCTTCATGTACTGCTGACAATTGCTACAAAACAAAGAGCTGCTCTCTTTTTGCCTGATGGCACATTTGCAAAACTTGGAAAAGTTCCTTTTGTGGATGGTAGTTTTTCTGACTTTAGGAGTCTGAGAACCGAAAGAAATGACGCGGCAGCTTTGCAATCAATAGATTATATAATATTCACACTGCAGAACTTTTTCAAAACTGTCATGGGTCCACTTGCATCCATTTTAACCTTCTGTTGAGTAACCACCAAACAAAAGCAAGCTGATTTGCAATATGTGGAGCTGAGAAATTTCACTTAAGGATAGTCAAATGCCCTTTACTTCTCAAGTCAGTTGTGGTACTCATTACGTAGTTGCTAGCTCATTTGTTTTTGCCCTGAGAGCTGTAGTGAAAGCACAAGGCAATTTTTCTCAAGCTCTTATATTTTAGGTCTACTCAGCTCATTAGTTATAGCCCAACACTGTGGATGGTTTGTGGAAAGTGAATTATAGTATGTTCAATGGGACTTCATCTCAGGTCTGTGGGAAAGGAATGGCAACTTGAACGTTTTTCCTCTGAATTAAGCCCACTGTTTTTCCTCAGAAACAAACAGAGGGAGCATAGAACCCATATGGTGTAGTATGTTCAATGGGACTTCATCTCAGGTTTGTGGGAAAGGAATGGCAACTTGAATGTTTTTCCTCTGAATTAAGCCCAATGTTTTTCCTCCTCTAAATTAAATGTGCCCTTGCCAAAGAGTCATCTGGAAATCACAGAAACAAACAGAGGGAGCATCGAACCCATATGGCCCTACTCACTGAAATGCAGCCCCATGAGCATTTTCTGCCCCCCCATTCATATGTTCATACCAATTTTCCTCAGAAAGTCCCCTTATGCCCTCTAGGAGATGTGGGGGATAATTTATCTCTGTTTGAGAGGACAGCACCCCTTGGCCCCCCCCACTGCACTCAAACCGTTGTGATTTTTAAAACAGGCCACTAGAGGGCATGAGAGGGGCTTTTTGTTTTGTTTTAAAATAGTTTTCCTGTTAAGAAAAATGACAGTGGAGATGTAGCAATGGCTTTCTAAGGTCCAGGGTGGCCACGTGTGGCCCTTGGACTTCTGGAGCTTTTACACCCTTTCATGGCAAGACAACATCTCTATGGTGATTTCATAGAAGGCAAGAAAAATAGCATATTTGCTGCAATCCGTGTTGCATGAGAAAAACCACAGTAAAACAGCTGATTGGACCATTGTTACCTTACATTTTTGCCTTCTCGCACAATAATGCGTAACTTTCCTATATGGAAGTGACATTATCTATATAGTACCTACATACTACAAATGCCTTGTATGGGGAAGTTGTGTTCTTTTGTTTGGGATACTGGAAGATGTTATTATGCTCACACTGAAATGGCAGAGTTGAAGGTTGGGGGAATCTTGTGTGAATTTTTTACTAGAACCACAAAATCCACCAGAAGCCCAAGTTTGCTGAAAAAGACAAGCTCTTAGAATTAAGAACATTCCAGGCTAAATCAAATAGTTAGCTCCAAGTAGAGTAGATGGGATCATGGTGAGACAGCACTTAACGCTGGTTCCATAAGTTCAGTTGGTGTACTGTAATTGTGACTAGCGGTTAGAACTTGTAGGAATTATCCGGCTGCATTCCAGAGTAGTTTTTTTTCATATTTTGGTTGGTTCGTGCATACTTTCTTAATTTCTGTATAATATAGAGCAGGAGGCTTTTTGTTCTTCTGGGAGTCAGAAAGCCTTCCAACTCTACTACAGACCTACCAGAGATCACCTAGGACATCCTTTTGCTAACAAGCTCACAACATTTTTCTCTGGATGTATCTCAGCTATGCTGTATTTGCTTTCATGCTCACTATAATTCATTTCCATATTTGGGATCTGGCAAGACTATATCCTCAGGGTGTATTGGATGGCAGCTCTGTGGGGTTTTCACCTTGCCTGTTAGCAAGCGGCATGGATGTCTTGAGTGTTTTACAGGGTGTGCTTCACTAAATCCATTCCTTGTCCAAGTTGTGCGTTTGACATATTGCACCTTAATGAGCCATTCCTTCATTGCAAACTATCTACGACAGGGACAGTGAGATCTAATTTGTTGGAGATCCATTTTAAAGTTGTGAGCTTTGTACCATTGTTGTTTCAAAATGTTTCCAGTGGAATGTTCTTGATCTTAATCAGTGGTTGCCCACTAATCATGTGTGTTATTTGTGTGGCCAGAGATACATTTGAGGAGTCCCTTCTCCATATTTAATTTGGCTATATAATTAGGATGTTTCTACTGTTTATAGCCAAGTATTTCCATCAGGCTCTTTAAAGTTATTCCAATAGAATGGCAAGCTTGCAGAGATCAGACACTGAAGCTGCCGAAGAGCTGAATGCTCCAAAGATTTGGAGTGTATTTCTGTTGTTAATTGTATTCAGAAACAGACTGTAGCTTTTGCTGCAAACACAAGCAGGTCAGAGAGAGCAAGACTGAGATGGAGAGTAAGCATGTTATTTAATAATTTGTAACAATTTCTATTCATGCTAGAGCATCCTGAAAATAACACAAAATCTGCTCTCAATCCTCTGTGTGTGTGTGTGTGTGTGTGTGTGTGTGTGTGTGTTTATTACCTTTCTTAAAACAAACCAAAAAGAACAAAACCACTGAGAAGATGATACAATGAAACAACATGCATAATAATCTTACTGACCCAATAAAAGATAAAAGAGAAAGAAAAATAAAGGGAAGGAAAGAAGGCATAATACTTATACACAGACTAATACACTAATTGTAATTGCCATTCTGAACTGCAATCAAAGTTCAAACTTCAGGGTAACCCAACTGTAGTGATGTTAAAAACAAAACATACACTTTTGGTTCATTGTCCACATTTCAGCAACTTTTAAATGAAAGCTCTTGAAGGAAAAGAATGTCACTTTTAATGAAATTATGAGCAAAAATTGTACCTCATGAATACTTCTTGCAAGAAGTATTAATCAGCTGTCAGGTTTCAGGATATTGTCATTAACTACTTCCTTATCTCTAATATAAGATATATTATTTAAGGTTGTTCTAGGATAGTATCTATGGTATATCAGGATGATGCATGGTTGAGATGAAAAGGTTGCACTCGAAGCTTGACATTGTGGGACGGGGGTGGGCTCTCCTGTCTTGCTTGCAAACTTTCTATCAGAGTTGCTGTAAGTGGGTTCCAACTTGATGGCACATAACACACACATACATTGTTAAAACAGAAGGGATCCATTGATACCACAGTGAATGAAACTAATATCCACCAGTAGATGCTGATCTCTCTTCTGCCCACCCCTAATTTATGTCTTGATAACATGGCTGTTTTATGGTAATTTTGGGGACTTTGTTGGAAAATGAATAAGTCTTTTATTTGGTTTTCCACTACACATTTGGGGCATTATTTGATGGATTTTTGTGCGATTCAGATTTTGATGAAATTTGATGAAGCCTGTGTACCACGGAATAACTGCAGCTGAGTTATCTAGCTATTCCATTTTCAGTTCTCACTAGAAGGAAGGACTAAAGAGCTTTCTGGAGGATATAAGGGTTTTAGCACCTCCAGTTGGGATCCACCACCATACAGGGCTGAGTTCAAAGCAACTAGTGTTGACAGGCTGAAAGGATCAGCTTGCTGGCTGGCACTGGTCTGTCATGCCGGAGGACAATAACGTATGAAGTATCCTACTGAAAATAGCTGTACCAAATGCGCACGCAAACATGAGAGCCTAATTCTGCTTCCAAACGACAGCCGACCTTCTTCTAAAGTATTTCCAATGCAAATGGTTTACATATATATATATATCCATGTTGGTTTATATTTGAGATGGGATTAGGCTAGATATAAAATGTCTTTCATTAGAATTGATTCTGCATGCAGTTCCTGAGCAACAATTATTTTAGTCAGTTGATTGACTTATGGGTTAAGTTTTAAAGTAGATGAAAGTCTGTTAAAGCAAATAAATCTGAGTACCTAAGAAAATGTGGTCTAGTATCAGTCTCATCCCACTAGCATGAATGTCTTCAGGGGGCACTTGTGCTCCACGCAGTCCTTCATTTATTTATGGTTTTAATATTCATAGGCAGATGCACTGTATTGTAGTGGTGCATATCATGTGCTCAAATCATGTTAGCATATCACTCTGTAAACGCCCTGCAAAGTCCTGCAGATGCTTTTGCCTCCCATCCATTTATTGTGTTAATTGAATATCTTGTAACAAATACTTTGCATACTATTGTCCAGTAGCTCTTTGAATATAAATCATATTACTTATGTTGTTGAAAGCAATAGAAAATATTCTGCTAGAAGGAGAAAAGCTGCCTAGGTAGCTCAGTGGTTTAGG